CATGCAAACACACAGAGCGTACCTCACGAAGAAACGAATACATGTCGATCACCTACTACTCCCGTATATGATCATCAGTGACCACATGTTGATACATGTGGTCTCTTTTGATGACAAACTAGTCTAAGTCATCACTTCTTAGGACGTACAATCAGCAGTTATGCTACGACAACTCTCGATCAACAGTTCTCCATGGTAATATAAATTTTCATGCAACAAAGAGTAAGGGTACATACAAATCTATTCTCCAAAAAACCAGACCAGCATGAACATAACCACTATCCAAAATACCATCTACAGTTGTTGTCTACTTCACCGATCAACAAGACTAATTTATTTAATTTTTAAAATTATATAATTATTTGAAATTTATAATATTATAATATTTATTTAAAATTAAACAGCTAAGGGAGTCTTTTAATTTAATAATGATATAAGTATGTATTAAGTTCAGTATAATAAAGAAAAGTCACACTATAGTTGAGTGGCTAAGCTTCCGGTCATTAATTTTAAGTGTCGTATTCAGATCTTATAATCATTGGAATTTTTTTTTGGTGATACCGTTATAGAAGTTAAATACAAAATATAGTGAAATTAACCAAAATAACTAACTTAGTTCAATGGTTGAGTGTCTTGCATCTTATGCAAATGTCCTATTATCCTAGGTTCAATTCATGCTTGGAGCAAGAATAATTTCTTTTATTTTGTCTTTATGTGGTGACATGTGCCGCCACATAATAATATTGAAAGAGAAAGGTGATCTGGAAATTAAAAAAAATGTCATGTCCAGGTAACAAATTGTAATTCAAACTAAATATTATGTATGATTTTTTTGAATAAATATAAGTACTAAACGTATAGTTTACTCTTTTAATATTTACTTAATAAGTTCAATTTAGCTAATAATATATTTCAATATGTCGTAATAGTAATGTATTCCAGTATGTGAGGTGCAGTGTAGATTTATTCAAAGTGTACAACCAAGCTAAATTTTTATTCTTTGATTAATAGGTGCTTCTTTAATATCCACATAATAATATATATGCTTAAAGGTGCAAAAAGTTCTTAAATTTTGGGGAAAATTTCAACTCTTAAACTTTTTTTATCCAATTAAGTCTTTGTATTAAGAAATTAAATCAATTAAAAAATTACATCAATCAAGCTTTTTGATCAATTTTAATCACTAAATTTTAACGATTCTATATTATTTACCATGTAACATATTTTGGTGTTATCGTTAAAAATGTAACATTTTTGGATAAAAAAGTTTAAACTTTGTAACATTTTTCTGTAATTGAATATTTGTGTAATTACACAACTTATTATGAATTGAGTAATATTTGTACGATTACACAAACATTTGAAAACGGTAAAAATTTATATAATTTAATACATTTATGTGATTGTGTATTACATCAAGCTTTTATAAAATTAAATTCATCAAATAGTCTTAGTGGTTAAAGAGAGGGTTATTATTCTTAGAGGATTAGAATTCAAACAGTTATATTTGTAATTTGCAAATGTATGTGTGTTGTCAATTATTAAAAAATATTTTAAATTGATATTACCTTTCAATTTTTTTTACAAAATCATAATAATTTATGTAATTTCCTTTAAAAATATGCAATTTTAAGGACCCTCATCCTAGAATTTTGTTCAGTTGCAGGAGCAGAATGTACGCTTTTGAGGTTGAGAGCTACAAAACTTGGAGTTGGTGAAGCAAACAGTGAAACACAATATTAGAATTAAACTGCAAAGCTGATGTTCTGTCTTCGGACTCGGAAGCCGAAGCTCCAATGTTTATTTTGCGTTGTGCAATGGAGAACTGAAGATTCGGTGGTCAGATTCAGACCAGTAGTTTTGTCTCCTTCAAGCTTTATGCATTGAGGATGAAGTTTCCTTCCTTCCTTTCTTTTTATTATTGTTTTGTCATTTTTCTTTATATAAAAATGAAAAAGAACAGTCTCTCTCAGCATTTGAAACCCTAAAAGAATAACATAACGAGGACAAAATTAAACCCAAGATTATTACAATGAAAACGTTATCTGAGCCAAGATGCTAGGGCAAATTATGTAACCTTAATGGAAATGATCATTATTTATGTTTATATTCATGTTCATGCCATGCATCATTAATTTATAATAATCTATTCATTCACCCACTTATTATTTTCATTCGAATCTTATTGATGAAAATAAATTTATCTCGTCGATCGTTGACGATTCACTCTTTTTGATTTGAACAAAAAAATCATAACCGATGAAGTAACAATTGTTGGTCGGTGATGATCCATGCGAGGAAAGAAAACGAAAGTAGAAGAACATGGACATTGTAGGTGAGAGAACTGGAAAAGAACGAGTGAGTCCACCTATCGGGTTTATCTAATTGACTTTTACGTTGACCCTTTCACGGTTGAGATCAAGCCTAGGGTTATCATGCATGCTAGTAGGCTCACAGTTTATGAGGACATAACTTTCAACCGCCAGACTTGATTTTGTCATCACGTCAAAGATTAAAGAGTATGGACTCTGGAGAGTAATCCCAGCGAAGGACGATTCCGGAGATGGAGTAGTATCTCCGAGAAAATCCTGGAAGCTATTCTCAGAAGGTGAAGTCTTTCGGTGAAGCCTTTCGGGAGGCTTTATTGACGAGGATTTGATAATTTTCAAAGAATCTTCTCCAGAAGTATAACAAACCTAAAGTTAATCGAAGTTAAAATGACTCAAACCCGAAATCTAAATTTGAAATGATTCAAACATGAAATTAATCTAAATTGAAATGATCGGAACATATTAAAACCCAGATTGATCCTATACAAGTATGTTCAATTTAGTTGTAGAAATTGCAGCAGGGTTGACATGTTTAGGATCTGTAAAGCTCACTTTTGAATAATGCAAAAGGATGGAGAGAAATAGATCTGCAGAGAGTGGGGAAAAGGATTGAATAATGCAATGATCATAAGCATGCGCATGCACTAATGGATTCCACAAATTTCGCCAAACCCATTATATGAAATTATGTTGTCTTAACCCTAATACCATTATTGTTCATTATTACACAAACCATTTTCATAGATAAAGTTGATTTACTCTCCTCCTGCTGTATACTTCTGTTTGGTCATAATTTTCCCGTTATCTTTTTTTTTTCAAGGAAAATGAACTGTATGCATGTTTGGTTACATATTTAATAAATTAAAATGAAAATAATATTTTTAAAAAAGGTAACCTCTATCATCACCAGAGAGTAATGAGTGGCAAAAGGACAATTTAATTGAGTTCATTGCCCCAACACAGAATAAACAGTAAAAACAAATAAGAGGCTCCCCCAATTAAACAAAACTAAAAATAAAAAGCAACATTAAACCTAAAATGGAAACATATAATGAAAGACGAACATATCAACCGATCTCAAAAGTTAAAGAGAATGTTATTTCTTCTAAAGTTTTTGAATTTAAGTAATTGTGTTTGTAGGATGTATGTATTGTCAATGACTTAGAAACATTCTGAACAAAAAGAAATTATTTTGTTTTTGATTAAGCTAAGGTGATTACAAAGTAGTATTTGTTCTAAATACTCTTTTTACCATTTGACATTGATCGTTCAATCACTCTACTGTAGTCACTGGTGCTCGAACCCGTGACCTCTAAGAACAACAACAATTCCTTTAACCACTGAAGTAAGTTAGTTCAGGCTAAAAAAGAAACTAAAATGAAAACAAAAGGTTAGGAATTAATTAAATTGCTCTTCCTCCGTAAGAACAATGGTCGTTTAACTATTAATTCAATGGTAATATCTGGGAATACTAAGTATCGCACTATTAATTCTTTGGTGATATAAATGTAATTTAATTAATTAAAACTTTTTGTTTATATATAAATAAACAAATGGGTAAACTATATATCAGGTCATTTAACTATTAATTCAATTACAAACAAGTCATGTTTTCTAAAAAATATAATTTAATTATTTAATTGAAATATTATTACAAATACGTCACTCGTCATTAAAATTAAAATGAAATTATAATGTGACTTGGTATAATAATAGTTTTAGTCCCTAAAAAATATTCATTTTACCAATTTAGTACTAATTCAAATAATTAAATAAATTTGATCGTTTATATTTAAAAGAATCTGTCAATTTATTCCTTTTTTTTAATACTATCAAATCAAGATTTTGTCAAGTCTCCTATCCGATGTCTCACAAAGAGCAATAACACGGTGCTCTCATTGGTAAAATTCAACACAATATAAAATATTGAGAACAATATGAAAGTAATATAAAATTTATGGGAGAAGAACATACTAAATTGAAATATGAAAGATAAAATTCATTGAATTCTTTTGAATTGGGATCAAACTTATAAAATATATAGAATTTTAAAATACGAAAGATAAAATTTATTGATAGAATTTTGAAACTTAAAGTTTTAGTAAATTTTGTTTCATGTTCAACAAAAAAGTTTTTTTAAAAAAAATTAAAAAAATGAATATTTTGGTATAAAATCCATTCTTCTTTATTAGATATTTCAAAAATACAATCTTATACGCATTGAACAAATTTTATGGTTAAAAAAATCAATGGTGAATCCAATTGAATCTAATTTGAAGAGAAAAAAAGAGCAATTGAATCATAATTTTTTAACTATATTAGTTCAACCAAATAGTTAATTTTAACTGATTTATATATTTAGAAAAAAAACTAAGGGTTAACAGAGCCAAAACACGGTAAGAAAATATTATTTCTTGTAAGTAAAAAGTAGTATAGGTTTAAAGATAACTCTATTATTTAACATTGAACGCTCAAATACATGACTTACATAATGCTTGAACTCAGGACATTAAGGAATAATAATATTTCTTTTACCACTGAGATTGCTTGCTTCAATTTTTATAGTTGAATCATTTGACCAGCCAATTTTGGATTCAATCAGTTAAAGTAACCGGTTGAGTTCAAATTTTTACAACCATGAAAATTATTTCAGTATGCATGAATCATGATGGTCGTGCAATTAAACGGAGCTAAGATTCTGTTTTACTATTTCTACAACTCTTTGCGATAGGCTCTCCGCCAGTGTTCCTAACAATGGTTCAAATGTGGATGAAGCAACGTCGCTGGTGGTGTTATTTTGTACCACTTTGGCTATTGAATTGATTTTTTCTGCAATTTTTGGCATCAGCTCCTTTGCTTCATCGTATAATTCAACTCGGGATCCACTCGAAGACTCTTCCATGGAAGTTTCTGTTCTTAATTTCGTAAACAGCTTGAAAACATTCTCGGCTGCAATGTCCAGGCTGATTAATGCTTCTTTACATGCTGTTATTTTCTCCTGTACTTCAGTTTGTTCATTAACGTGTTGCTTCGGAGCCTCGGATTCTTCTTCAATGGTTGATGAACCTTCTTCATCCTTTTCATCAAGGGAAACGGAACAATTTAGGTCCTGTGATAAGGCTCAAAATGCAAAATACAAGTCAGCTAAGATACAAGTAGAGTTGATAACATTAGATACGATACAAAAACGTTATAACACACACAAAAATCATAATGAACATGACTCGACACGTTTAAACGAGGTTAACACAAATTGAATCTCAATGGTAAAGAGATGTTGTTCTCACTAAAGAATCTGAGTTCGAGGATGGGTGTGCATTGTCAAAATCTCAAAATAAATTTTATGGCATGGCAGCGATAAACGTACCTGATCAATAGAGCCTGCTACTTCCTCCAAAGTTATATTTGAGGTGGATTCGTTCTTTTGCATGAACGGGTTAAAAAGTCTTTTGCAGCCCACTAGATAATCCCGCCGTACAAAATATTGCGAAGAGTACCTTCTCCTAGTAGATGATTGCCTTTTCTCAACCTATAAACGGATAGTAATAAGACTTCGAAAGTTTTGGCGTCAGCCAAATGGTTTATATGGTCTGTCAAGTACTTTTTGTAATGTCAAACATTAATTTTTACTCTGCATTTCGTAAGAAATAACGAGAAAGTAAAACAGCTAAAAGAAAAAACTTTTTCCATTGTTTCTTTTGTTTTCTGGGAGAATTTTATCTTCTCAAATGTGAAAACACCCATAGTTTTGAAGGGTGAATATACATTTTGGTGCATGAAATTAGCTTCAAGGTTCAATTTGGTACTAAAGTTTTCTTTGGTATTATTAGGTACCTGAATTTGGCTTCTTGGTTCAAATTGGTACATGAACTTGACTTTTTAGTCAAAATTGCTACTTTCTGTAAATTACTTATTTAAATCAATTTGAAGTGTGAAAGCAAATTCAAATACTAATGTAAACCAAAAAGTCAAGTTCATGTACCTAATCAGATAAAAAAAAAGTATAGTTACCAAATTGAACCTTGAGACCAAGTTCAATACCTAATTGGACCAATAACAATTTAGGTACCAAATTGAACCTTGAAACCAATATCAGGTACCAAAATGTAAATTTACCCCAGTTTAAATACTAAAAGCTACATTAGCTTTCAGTTTCAAGTTGTAGCTTATTGGGCCTAAAGCGAAAAGAATATAGCCTGACCCAATTCTAGCCACCTCTGTGCCCTTTTCTCCCAATATTCTGAATAAAAGAAAAACATTTTGAAACTCTTAAGTTACTTTAAAAAATACCACGCATGAAAACTAACCTCGAGTGTTGCAGATAGGTTGCCAAAATGCTCCTTGAACAGATCACTGTCCTCAGACTTCACATGGAAAGTATTAACATCCATGGCACTTTGCTCTGTTTTATCAGAATAAAATTGCTCTATCACATCATGAACCTCGTGATTAACTACTAAGACAAGTATGTTCTGAGGTATCTGTATTACCGTCATCAATGAAATGGTCCCTGTGACCCAAAGAATGTTCACTCTCATTTGGCATCTCATCAGCGAGGCCTTGCACTGCAAAAGATATACCAAAAAGGTTAATAACAGCTCATCTTAGGCTATTATATTTTCCCCTTTGTAACATATGGATCCATTCATTTTCCTTCTTGACATTGGCACTTTAATAGTGTAAACTCCCATATAAGCATTGCTGTTTTATATCTTCAGTTTCATCCTGAATTTCATTTGAATCTTTCCATCATAGTGAATTACAACTGACCTTGAGAAATTTGTAGCTATTTCCTCAACTTTGCATCCATTCAGTAGAGCAATAAAAGAACATCGATTTCAAGGGGAAAAAACTTGGGTTTACCTAGTTTTGGTGATGACACTGGCATCTTTATGTCTTTAAAATTTTGCACCTCTGGGGAATCTAGTAGATCCAGATGTACATTGTAGACAGTGAACCAATGATCTTCCGCTGCAGAGCTGCTGAAAATTAAAGAACCATGAGGCATTAGGATACAAAGTTAGAAACTAATGGTGAGTACTAACCTAACATATGCAAAGCATAAGAGATGAAATTATTTAAACCTCACCGAACTAGTTTATCTGGTGATGCAGAACTTTGGGTTTCAGTAGTAGCATTGGAAGCACTTCTGCATATGTCACTAAGGCACGAATTGCTGCCTCCTGAGCAACGATCAGATGCTGTTTGGTGTTCATGGCTCAATGAACCATAGTCCTCACCACTGCTAATCAAAGGTGATGAAATTTTTGGGTCTACTTGCATTTGCTGGAGGCATCAACGGGAAAGATAAATAAGGATCAATGAAATGCAAAACCATTCATCAGTGGCTATTTTTTTGGTACAAGAGATAAAGAAATTCTCCAAATTCCTTTTAGGAGTAGAGTGATCGGTTTATATCTAAGAATAAGTCCGGCTAAAAATGAAAGTAATATGGCTGAAAAGATCCGAACGGAAACTAGGAAACCAATCGTGTTTCAGTATACATGGTTATAGAAACACAAAGTACAGCCCTCTTTTATGGTAAGTGTTAATTGAAACTTTCAAAAAACTAAAGCAATATAGGTATCCATCATTCAGACTATCCTTAGAGCCTGATGGAAGTTTCCGGTGTTCCAAAAACCTTATTGGTTTCATTTACTATGAGACCACAACAGAAAAAATTGGACGAGAATTATTATTGATCCTATAAATGAGGTCCGGGAAACCACTTTTTTTTATTTTTCCTTTGCTTTTTTATGTTGGATGTATGAGTGCAAATCATCGTGTCAAAGTCTACCATCGATAATACCTGAGGTGAAGTGATCTCAAGATTTCTCCGGACAAAATCAGTGCTTGTTACTTTGTCTTGTGCCCATTTTGGAAGTCTAGAAATGCTTAATCTAAATGCATAAGTCTCTTGGGAATCCCATCCATGATAATTCGCTCTTTGTTTATGTTGGTTGCACCTTTCAGCTAGCTGTGAAATCTTGGAACTACATGACTTGTTTTCCTCTCCACAAATTGTGGTTCGAGTAAAAGCAACTGGCATGTATAGGGTTCTTGGAGACAATAAAAGAGATGTTTCCTTCACTTTCTGTAGCATCCTGGAAGCCAAGCGAGTGGGAAGTTTCCACACAAAAATACAACCATCACCACCTACCTGAATGCATCATAAAATTGAGAAAAAATTGAGTGAATGAACATACATACAAGTTACCTTGAATTAGTTCAAATTCGATTCAGACATGATACATGATGTCAAAAAATGATAATTAAGCATGAGAAAACTTACAGAAACTATATGCTTGCAATCTGGTAAAAAAATGACACCGGTCACAACTTCTCCATGTCCTACAGCTTGGGCAGTCATCTCACCACTTATAAAATCATACACGCATATAGACTTGTTTGAAAACGAACATACGAAGTAGCTGCCGCTAGGGTCCATTGTAACCTGACACACATATTTCTGTGTCAGTAGAAGAAACGTTGATGGTCACATCCTACTGATTATTACCAAAACTCATAACTCACCTTTATTGGGTCACCCAAATCTTTGTTTTGCTTGAATGATCTAATAAGTTTTCCACTAGAAATGTCAAATATATTTATCTTCTTATCCTACAAGTAAAAAGTAACCTCATAATCAATTCAAATGAGGATTTCAAAGGCATCTGAAAATTATGTCAAGCGGTTAACTAGAGGTTAGTTTTTAATGTGTAGTATTTAACCATATGATGGATTTAAGGAGCCCGTATCAGGAATTGAGGTATCCCTTGAAGCTTTCTTTGGAATATGGCAATTACTCCCTTTGAAATTACCTGCCCAACAGTGACAACAACTTCTGTCACCGGATCTACAGACATATCATAGACAGTCCCATTAGATGCCATTTGATGGTGACGACGAGAAACCTTACATCTGCTATCAGTTAAATGGACATCACGGAAGACAAGGGACCTATGGGAGATAAAGAAAAACACGACTTTAGAGTGAGCCATTTGGACGTCAATGGTGAGTATTCATTTTATAAAAGTATAAATTGCAAGATGAAATAATAAAAGTAAATCACAAATTCACAATTGTTCGATTTGTTGAAAGTAATTTAACTAATTAAAGCTATTTCAAATGCCATTGAAACAGAATTAACTATCAGGGTGCAACCTAAATAACAATGATGTCACTTCCTCATCTTCTCAAGCAGTTTACTTATCAATCAAGCCTCATTTTTTATTCATAAAACAAATACCTATCTGCACTGCAACTCAGAATCTTACATCCATTGCAAGCAAGTTGAATAGAAGTCACGGCAGCTGAATGGTCATCAATACTTTCAATGAGCTCAAAATTCCTGGCATGAAGGACATTAGATCTATTAGCATACAGATCCAAGAAGCTTCAGTATATTTCAAAAAGAAAAAAAAGAGGCGTTAAGTAATCAATCAAAACCTTTTAACATCATAAAGATGGATTATTCGATCTCGTCCCCCAGAAGCAAGCAAGTAATGATTGTCATTTCCTCCAGAGTCTATATCCTTTGTACTTGATAAGCTAAAACTCAATGAAAGAATCTCTGCATCATGAGAATCCTGTCAAACAAAAGAATGTAATTTGTAAGACTGACAGAATTTACTAAAGTAGTCGCAAAAATAGTTAAAGTACTCACAGCACTAAATTCTTTTCAAACAAATTATTTAAATGTATTATGATGGGCTCAGGACTCTGGTTCACCTTAATGCATGTATACTCAGAATTGTGAAGATCATAGATATGGAGGTTTCCCTCACAACCGCCAACAGCCATGTATTTTCCATCTGAACTAATTGCCATTGATCGCAAACCTTGATTGCCAAAAGATGTATCCCCGGTGGTGATCTCAAAACTTCCAGCAGTCACTGCTTCAAGTAAGAAAAATAAATAAAATCCAAAAGTTGAGGTGGAAAATAAAAATATAAATCAACTTATTGAACCACATTTAGCAGCAAGAACATGAAAAACTCGCTATAAATCAGTTCATAATAAATCGAAAATAGATAAAGTGCCTGAAATGAAAAATAAATAAATCTGCACCTTTTAACATGTTTACAACTTATGTTGGGACCTATTAAATCTTAGGCCTTTACCTATGTTAATTCCCTCTGATTCAGTGATCAAATAAATATTGTCAGCAGTATCCCTTGATAAATCAGGTTGTGAGACAAGATCCCATAACCTAACTGTGCCATCAGCTGAACAGGTTGCAAAGGAGATTCCTCCAGAACATCCCTTTGCTGCACACGTAAGAGATGGATCGTGCATTTTTTCACAACAGAGATTCTTGATATCCCATATACAAGCTGAATGAGAAATAAGAGCTAAGGACCTGGTAGCCTGGAATGATGCCAACAAAAGTTTGCTTAAGTTATAATCTATTAGTAAGCCCAAAATACAGACTTAAGGAGAAGAATTTAGTTTGCAACTAATTTCTTATAGATTTCAGATAACAGATTAAGCTTTCTTCCATGTTACAAATCAAAAACTGAATATCACTAATCTTATATGGAACAATCACCTCATTCTCTTGATGGAAATTCCATATATGAAGACTATGATCTCCATAGACAACAACTGCAAAAGAAAAAAATTGAAAATTGGCCATTACGTATACAACGAAGATGGAATATCAAGAGCCAAAAGAACTAATTGAACTAAAAGCTCACCAAGCTTTTCTGAGATGAACTGACAAGCAACTGCATCAGGAAGAGTAGGGGCTGATGGACAATTATTTTCACTGGATTTATGGCAAGAAGGATCAATTTCTCCATGACATGATTTGGCCTTAGAGTACAATAGGCTTCCCACATATCCAAGATTATGAACATTGAAGAGTTGTACTTGTCCGTTGCTACATGCACAAGCAATTAACTTGCTGGATGCACATAGTGCAAATCCTTTTTCAACCTGAAAGTTAATTGTTGAATGTATCAAACTCAAACATGAACCTAATTGCAATAGTTGAGATGTATGTCGTGCAGTTCTACACACCAATACCACATTTTGTAATTTATAATCCGTGGAGACAACTTTCCATATTGTCAGCAAAAATAATCTACTAGGTTATAGAAACCAAGCTTCCCTTACCATAGTAGCCAACCATGTTAACCTTACAGTAGAACTAAAAATTTTATCAGATCCAAAATTCAAAACCGTGGAAAGATAACTCCTTGGTGTGCTGGTTCATTTATATATATAAGAAAAAACATAATATTGGAGTCAAGCATACCTTTAAATCAACAGAATTTCTTAATGACAGCCCAGAATCTATGAGGCATAGAACTCCTGTAAGTAAAAGGAAGAGTATTGAATTTTTTTACTATGCTTTAGAATATCTAATCAATTTAACTCTCTTTAAATACAATGTCAAGAAATATAAACCTGCATCAGTCAGTGCGTATATTGGAAAGAGCTCATCAACTTGATCACAGTTCACAACACTATCCTCTTTCCAGATGGCGGATGAGACAGATATAAATGAACTGCCTTTCTGAGGACCAAGATTAATAGGCTTCGATTGAATAGACAGTGACACTGTCCTTGTTCATGCGAGTCCTTGGAGATGCACCAACTGCCCAGAATTTCAGGTGCTTCTTTCCAGCAGTAACAACGTAATTCGCATCTGAAGAGAAAGTGACAGACGTAACTGCAGAACATGATGAACTTGCTTTAAGCTTGGTAACCAGAATCCCACTCCTCCAATCCCAAAGATAAATATACCCTCCAACAGACACCAGATGTTTCCCTACAAAAACCAATTAGAAATTTATAATGGTCAAATATATGTCATGTAAATATAAGTATAACCACGACAATCGACATGGATTTTGCATTCCACTGATATATAGTAACTAACCATCAGGTGAGAAGGCAATGCACTCAACTCCGTATATGACCTTTCAGCTCAGATATGAAGGCATGAGTAACGCTGTCCCATACCAACACCGAAGGTTGAGGCCCTGACTGCAAAACAACATTAGATCCATACACATAGTAACAAACCACAAACACAAGTAACTTACCATTGCAGTACCCAAACCCAGTACATATTAATAATTACACAAAGATATGATGCAATTGTGAATAATTATAATTAAACAGGTTCTCGCTTCAAATCATTGAAAAGTTAAGGTACTACTAGTTCAATATATACTTTTAAAATCCAATCACACCAAAATAGGAAGAAACCCATAGGCAGATTAAAAATAAAAGTCTCCAATTAAAATCACTTCGTTACCTCTCCAGCAGCTACGAAGCGACCATCACGCGACATGGCGACGCAGCACAAAGGTTTAGGTATTCGATGAGAGAGCATAAGATGTGATTGGGTTCCAGATTCCGCATCGTACACCACCGCAACGCAACCGGCGACGTAAACGAAGCTGGATGTTGATACGGTGGAAGCTAATCCGTTGGCGTTCTTCGTAGTTAATCCGATGATCTCTTTCAAAAGAAGCTGCAATAAGAAATCAAAATCAGAATAGATTTAGGTATATAAGTCTACAACTCTTCGCTTATTATAAACAAAATTTAGGATCGACTGAGCATCAAAGCGCTACTTACCTTGGATGACGATGGATCTGATTTCTTGAGCTTTCGGTTAGTTTTCATATTGAGCTTGAAAGGAAAATAAGGGGCCAAAAAACAAAATGCTAGCAATATTTTTGGGTGCAGGAAAGTTGTTTGTGTTTTGTTGGTAACGTTCGAAACTTCGAATGATTTTGGAGCGGGAAATCTTTCCAAATCAAAACAATAACATTTTTTTTCATTTTTTTAAATAAAAAGTATGCCTCATGAAAATAAAACACGTGTGACTGGATATACTTATGGGTAAAGTACACTCATAGTTAGCCCGTAAACGAACGGAACGTTCAGCGAATCGTTTGGAGGGAAGTTTATTTATTTATTAGATGAATAAATATTAACAATATTTTGTATTCGTTTAATTAAATGAATGAACATGAACAAAGAGTTCGTTCGTTCATTTACGTACGTGGACGTTCGGTGATATGTCTGTTTATTTATGTTCGTTCATTTATGTTTGTTCGTTTATGTAGGCCTGTAAACGAACCGAACGCACACGAATAGAGATTTGTTCATGTTCGTTCATTTAATAAATAAACGAACATAAACGAACAAAATTTTTTTGTTCATGTTCGTTCATTAAGGAATATAGCTTGTTCATGTTCGTTCATTTAAATGATTAACGGACATAAACGAACGTAAACGAACGAAAATAAACGAACACAATAAACGAACAACACAAACACAAAAAATAAACTTATTCGAACACAACAAATGAATATAAAAAAAGTAAACAACAAGAATAACAACTTAAAATTCATTAATATAATCTACAACTTTAGAGTTAATTTGTTCGAATACGAAAAAAACATACATAAATCATAAATAAATTATATGAACATAATAAAGTCTTAAAGTTAATTTGTTCAACAAAACAATCTTATTGAAATCCAAACAACTTCAATAATCTTCGTAACATATTCAACTTGCCCTCTGTTCTAACATAAATGAACGAATATAAATGAACATAAATGAACGAACATATAATCGAATGTAAATGAACGAACGAGTCCTTTGTTCGTGTTCGTTCATTTAATTAAACGAACGCAAAATCTTGTTCATGTTCGTTCATTTAATAAACGAACATAAACGAACTTCCCGCCACATGGTTCATGAACAGTTCGATGAACGTTCAGTTCATTTAGAGGCCTACATTTATGTGCATTCATTTATGTTTAGCTCAATCTCTCTAGACACATTTAAAATATTAAAGGCCAATAAATCTTAATCTGATACCCATAAATATTTTAAAATTCAATTAATTTTAAATACAAATAAAAAAGCTCAAAACAATTAAATAAAATTGTTAGGAAAGAAAACAATTATTTTCATTTATGTTCGTTTATGTTCATTTATTGTGTTCGTTTAAGTTCGTTCATTTGTGTTCATTTACGTTCGCATATGTTTGTTTACATCCGTTCATTTATGTTCGTTCATTTGTGTTCGTTCATTTGTGTTCGTTTATCATTTAAATGAACGAACACGAACAAGCTACATTCTTTAACGAACGAACAATAAATGTTTCGTTCGTTTATGTTCGTGTTCGTTCATTTGTTCGGTTAAAGTTAAACGAACGAACATGAACATACCCCTATTCGTGTTAGTTCCGTTCGTTTACAGTCCTACTCATGGTCACTAAAACTATCGATAAAAATAACTATTAATAAATTTATAGTTAAAATACTGATTTAATTCTATATTTAAAAAAAAACTATTTTTCTCAACTAATTCATCATCAACATCACCGAACCCTAATCCCTGAATCATCATACCACCATTAATAGTTTTTTTTATAGATAAAATAACCTCAGTGACCAAAAATCTCATATAATATGCGATTTTAACCAATTTTTTCGGGATTTGCCAAAATGACCAACAAAATCGCAATGCGATCGCTAATTCGCAACGCGATCTCCATTATCGCAAATCAGTTTCCAGATTCGCAACGCGATTATGACTATCGCAATGCGATTTTCCAATTTCGCGTTGCGATTTTCCCAATTCGCAATGCGAATAAGTAAATCACAATGCGAATTTGGAAAATCGCAATGCAATACTGACTATCGCAATGCAATTTTCCTAATTCGCATTGCGATTTACGTATTCGCGTTGCGATTTTCATAATTCGCAATGCGAATTAGGAAAATCGCAACGCGAATACGTAAATCGCAATGCGAATCTTACTATTGCAATGCGATTTACATAGCGCCATTCGTATTAACGCGTATTTTTTTTTTTCAAATTCCACACACGAATTTTTTCTTAATAAATCGGAAACTGAACCGTCCACAGTAATCGCAACTCATAACCTCAAACCTAAAATCACAAAACTCAGTCCCATCTCCATCTCTCACTCTCTACGGCGAAATCCGTCCCCATCTCCGAAGATTTCCGTCCCCATCGCCGGCGAAATCCCTCACAACCATTCACAGTCAAAAATCCCTCACAATCATTCAGAAATGGAAAATCAACCTCCGAGGGTTAGTTTTGTTTTATTTTTATTTTGAAATTTTTGCATTATTTTAGGTTTTTCATATTGGGATTGATGATAAGTTTACTGGTAATTTCAATAATAGATTAACCATTTCACTTAGATTTCTTATTAAATTCATTTGATTGCTGCCAATACTGCTAAACTGTTTAGCCTGTGAAGTTAGTATTTGTCTTTGTTTTGTCTTTTGGTTGAAGTAATGCAGAAGAAGAATAGTTTCGAGAATGAAAATCGCAACGCGGAAATAACTATCGCAACGAGAGAATCGCAACGCGAAATAAAAATCGCAACGCGAAACCAAAATCGCATTGCGATTTTCATTTCGCGTTGCGATTCTCTCGTTGTGATTTTCATTTCGCGTTGCGATTTTCATTTCGCGTTGCGATTCTCTCGTTGCGATAGTCATTTCGCGTTGCGATAGTCATTTCCGCGTTACGATTCTCATTATCTCGTTGCGATTTTCATTTCAACCAAAAGACAAAACAGTGTTGCAAATTTTAGTTTCAAGAATAAACTACTATTTATGTTTATTGTTTTTGGTATATCTTGACAGTGTAGTTTTTGGTATATCTAACTTGGTATGTTTATTGTTTTTGTAGAAATTTTTTTCGGTTTCATTGACATTAAAGAATAAAGTTAGCCTAGCCACTACAATTGCTTCGAAGCTTTCACCTGCACAAAGAAAATTGTTTGAGGAAACCTATTTCGGGCCATGGCTGAGAGTACAGCATCCGGGTGGAGATGCTAATTTGACCCATTTGTGGCTTCAGACCATAACTAGCGATCTACCCGACATTATACAACGTGGTGAGGAAGAGATATGGTTTCATTTTCCACCGGCGTATACTTGTTTTGGGCGGAAGGAGTTCTGCTTAATCACTGGTCTACGATTCGGACACGATGATGTAGGCCGGTACACTCGTCATATCACCCGCCCATCATGGTTATCCAGGGTTTTTTCCTGATGAGTCAATAGAGAAGCCGAACTTACACGTCGACGACATGAAGAAATTGTTTAATAAGAAAGATGATTTTACTCGGATGAATGACGTCGATGTTGTCCGAGTATGCCTTCTACTACTTTTGTATGCCGGCTTTTTAGGCAGAGAGGCCAAACAACCTATTCCTCAGGAGCTAATATTATTGGTAGAGGACCTAAATGCATGGAATCTGTTTCTGTGGGGTTCATATATATGGAAAGCTACCTAGACTAAGTTGTCGTCTGCCTTTGATGACCGCAAAAGTTTGCGGGGCGATGGGTCGAAATACACTTTGTCAGGCTTTGTTTGGGCCTTTAAGGTAAGAATTTCTATATAATGTTTTCAAAATTATAATTAATTATTTAACAATTACTAATGTTTGTTATTATATTGTTTGTAGATTTGGATATTCGAGGCCTTTCCCGCCATGAAGACATATGCAATAAAAACTTCAAATGATATTCCCAGGGCTATTTCCTGGAAGAGGAAACGTCTGCTGGATTGGGAAGACTTAATACCATATGCGACAATAAATAATGTAAGTTAACACAAATACTATCATATATAAACAAGTTATTAATAGTAGACGTTTAACTTTGTTTGAGTTTTTATATTTTTAGGAGGCCAACATTCCATTAATGAGACTGACACCCACGGAGGCTGAGCTTGCCACTAATTGGTGGCAAGCTAGTCAGCGTTTTCTTGATGGCACGAATGATGAGCAGCCTCCACTTCCTCCACTTCGAGAGCCATCACCTCACCCAGAGCCATCACCTGATTGACCCGACTATACACCTCTACAACGAGAGCCATCACCTATCCCGTCACATCATCGAGCCTCTTCTCCACCATCACCTCATGATAGGCGACCGGCAAAGATGCCACGACTTCTATCTCCCTGTTCTCCACCTCCACGGGATGAGTCAAGGGAGTTACGTGATGAGGTCAATGTCTTGCGTGAGGAGATCGGTACTCTACGCGATAACGATGGTGTATGGCATGTGGAGGTGTCTACTTTACGTGGTGAGGTTGCCGCTCTACGTGAGATGGTAGTATCGTTGCAGAATGAGGTTCATACTCTACACAACGAGGTAAGTTTAAGATTTTCCATATTTAACTTGATGATAAATTTACTCGTAATTTTACTTAAATTAACCATTTCACTTAGATTGCTTAGTAAATTTATTCGGTTGCTGCCAATACTGCTAAACTGTTTATTAACACTGTGAAGTTAGTATTTGTCTTTTTGTTTTGTCTTTTGGTTGAAGTAAATTTATTCGGTTGCTGCCAATTCTGCTAAACTGTGTATTCTTTAACACTGTGAAGTTAGTATTTGTCTTTGTTTTGTCTTTTGGTTGAAAGTTTGAAATATATTTGTCTTTGTTTTCACTGTTTAAATATCATGACTGTTTATTTACTGATATTTGTATTTAATTATTTAGCGGACCGATAAGGTGGATACTTTATGTCGGGTTTTTCTTGCACGACAGAGTTCACGCATCAGACGGCGTGCACGTGCTATTAAGTCTCCGTATACCCCAATAGTGCGAAGACAC